ATCCCTAACCATAAACTAGGGATCAGATCATTGTACAGGTAGATTAGAAATATTTTAGAACATGAAAAAAAATCAGATTGAGACTCTACACATTATTGTTATTTATCTAATTAATCCTCAAACATCTTCATTGGAAAACCTTTTCTTAGGGTTCTCTTCATGAGATTGAAAATATATAGCTGTGGTATTAATTACTTATTTTGTAATACAACATTTATATACAATTGTTACATCAAACACTGCCTAAGAGCAAGATTAATTAAAGCATAATAGTGGGAAGACAAGCTCAGAAAGGTAGCCGAATTTGGTTGGAAAGCAGTGACGTTGGGTTATGGATGTGGATTCCTTGTTGGTGTGGTGATTGAAAACATTGTTTTTGCAAGAACACGTGAGTGGTTGCAAATTTTTTTCATTTCAAAAAATTTTAAATTTTCAAAGAGATGGAAAAAGGCAAAGAAGATGATATATTCATCGTAAGTTAGTTCACTTGAGTGAGTTTAAGATTGTTAAAGTGTGAAAGGTCAGCAAAGATTAAACTGAATTTTTAAAAAATCATGCTTGACAGAATGTTCAATTGGACAATTCAAATTGGAGTATACGTTAAAGGGATTTTTTAATCTAATGCTCTAAGTCTCATTAATTATAGTATTTATAATTAATTTTACACAGATTTTTATATAAGATTTAAATAAAATATAATATAAAAGATAAAAATATAATATAATATAATATAATATTAATACTCAAAATTTGTAAAAAAATTATAAATTTGATATGAAAATTTGTGTAAAATTAATTAAAAACACCAAAATTAATAAATCTTGAAAGATATAAATTAGACAAACTCTACATTAAAAATATAGTTTAATTGAAGCCTTTCAAGTTTTGGCTATTATCTTATCTAAATAAATGAGTAACAATTTCTAACCTACTTAAAGAGTGAGGATGACATTAGTACAACCAAGTCAAGGGACACATCTTTGTATACATTTGATTCAATATATTTTTTAATATTTATCTTAATTTAACTATTAATATAT